TAAAACTTGAGTACAAAAAAAAAAATAAAGATGTTTGGTAAATCAATCAAATGTTTGAATCAAGGACTGGAAGAATCTTTAATATTTTTATATTATTCTTATATATGTGGGTTGAATATGTTATATCAAAATGATTTTAAATGTACAAATCAGCAAGTCACCTGACAACAACATCTAATATATGTGCTTTATACACAATAGCCTTGTGATGGAGCCTTTCACAATGGAAATTATGCTGCAGAGCTATTGTTAAGATTCACAGTTGTCATATAGAGCATGACTGGACATCGCAAATTGTACTATAATGTGGTTAAGCTCCAAAATAATTTAAATACAATGTACTCAACTTTTTGTTTATAAAGGTATTTTATTATGTATATAATACTCCTCACAGTTCATTTATTGTACTTGATAAGAGTCATAAATGATAAGAAATACTGAAAAGACTGAGGTGTATTAATTTATCTTTGTGTTTCATTTAACAAGAGAAACTTGTGTAACTTGAACACTTTGTATAGTTAGTGAGTGAAAACATCTGGTTGTACACAGCAGTCATTTTTAGATTTACTGCATTATTTTAGCTTTACATCAAGTACAAGTTTGCTATAAAGGAAGCACTGTCAAATTCGTTTTTTAATTTGTTTTTATTAGTAGTTTAAAAACCTAAATACATACACACACACACCTGCTTATGTTAAAATGTCTTTGAAACTCATGTTTTAAAATTTTTATGTAATACATATATGTAAACAATAAGTAACTTGCTGTGATACTGCCACTTTTAGTATAGACTGTAATCTAGTATAAACAGAAGTTAGTGAATACTGATTTTGTTTAGTTGTAACTGTATAGATGTAATTTTTCAAGTGTTCATAAAATTATGAAAGAAAAGTATACACTACTAATTCCCTCTGAAACAAAGAAATGAATTGAGTATTATGCTGATGTAAATTTACTCAAGTTATGAAAAATCAGAAGTGAGCAGCCAGTGATTCATGAACAGCAAAATTTATGTACATTGTTTGTTCCATTTTATTTTTATTTCTGTAGGTTTGAGGGAGAAATGGACGACTACAGTGTTATAATGGTTAAGGCTTTAGCAGATAGATTAGCTGAGGTGAGTTTTGCTCTCCTGGGATATACATATATCATAAGAAAAGAACTTGATAATTTCATACTGGAAAGATAGATGCTAAACTGTCCTTACCAAAACATTGCAGTTTGTCTTTAACTTATCTCTTTGATTTGAAAGATTCATCCATTGCTGGCTAATGTGAAGAGATTGTAGTCCAGTGACACAGCAGCAAGGTTGAATATACATGTGTGTGTTGTTGCAGCATGCAAATACACTTTGTTGAGTGTGTGCATTTGAATTTTCACAAACACGTTGTTTTACTGAGATATGCACAAGGAAGTCAAACCCACATTCTATGCCTTCCTAGCACATCCTGTCTTTCAAACAATGTTGGTAATTCTCTCTGCATTATTTATAATAGAAAGAAAAGATTTTAATTTACAGAATTTTCTCTAAGACTATTTCATTATGAGGTGATTAATGAATTATTTGGCCATTGTTTATTATTTCCACGATCACTTCAACCAGCTAACAGTTATTTTGATCCACTTATTGGTTACTCAGAAAGAAAGCCAGTTAAATTATACTTGTTTTAGGATATTGTATTTTTTGTATGTTTTTAATATTTTTTGTTCTAAAGTTCATATTTGAAATAAATAAAAATTACTATGTATTACCAAAAATTAGGGTTAAGGTTCATCGAAACTGATAGCAAAAAATTAATTAAGTACAAGAACCCACATGTAAATACTAAGTTTATTGTTTGCTATGTATTTTGTATTTATTACTGTAAAAGTAACTACATTGTAAAAATTGGAAACTTCTGAAGTTAGATAAAGAAACTAAAAAAAAATATTCATAAAGGCATGTGCAGATTTGAAAAGTATTAGTTTTGGCCTGTAAGAAAGTACAGTCATTATAATAAGAAAAAAAAGGGGGTGATTTAAAAATATATCCTATTTTCAACTTTTCATTTTAACTTACATTGCTGATTTTAATACAGTTAGTGTTGATGTAAAGAAAACAACAAATAAAATATTAAGTTTTACTCAAATACTTTATATTCATTTAAGAAGTTCTACAGATTATGCAAATGAAATATGAAACTGTAAGATGAAAATCACTATTTTTGTTAATAGGATGAAAGTTACCTTGAACTCAGACTATTCAGAATCTAAATCAGGTTGAGTCAGTAAGTTCACAGACAAATCTTTAACAAAAGTACTATAAAAAATACTGATGTTTTTATATGCAACATACTTGTAATGTTTACTTAAAACTTACCAGATTTTGTGAAGACACACATTGTAAATTCAGAAGTATAGTACACATTAATTCTTCAATATGGACTTGATTCACTAGATCAACCTTGTGCATATAGGGTTTATCAAATACATTCAACTAATCAACAACTAATTAATTAAGTCAATTAATCGATTTAATGTTTCAGCACTAGTTAAATACACATTTTTCTATTTTGTGATTAACATATTTTTGACTACACTAGGTAAAGGTTTTGTTTTTGATTCTATGTACTCCATCTCCTATTGAAGACTGTTACACTTTTATCAACTGTTAAGTACACTAAAGATTACTGCTCAATACTACAATATTTGTTTTCATTTTCAGCATAAAAGTTACTAGTAAATTGATTATAGCTACATTTTAAGCCTTTTCATAACTTTGTTTAAGTGCAAAGCTACACCATAGGCTGTGCTCACAGATGTTTTCTAGTAAAAAAAAGATTAAGAAATGGCAAAAAGTTTAAATTAGATAGAATTAATAATTTTTTATAATTTCTTTTTTTATAGTTGGTTGATTAATTGAAGGTGATTTTACTTCTAGGCTTATGCAGAGGAACTGCATGAAAGAGTGAGGAAAGAGTTTTGGGGCTACTGTTCTGAAGAACATTTAGACTCTCAGGAATTGCTTAAAATTAAATACCAGGTAGTCTTCATAAGTGTTTGCATTTCATAGATGGCTAACCAGGAAAATTAACAGAATTGTTAATTTTTAAAAATTTATTCAGTGAATAACTAACAGCTATACTTTTGTGATTGTTTATTAAATATGGTTAATAAATTTTGCAGTTGAAGTTTAATAAGGAATATGATATGGTATGATTGACTAAACTATTGTGAAAATGTATTTCATTTGTAAAATTTGAATGTTTCAACAAAAACTGAGTATTTTTGCAATTGTAACAAATAGACATAAACTTTATGGAAGCTAATTATTTTGATAAAGTGAAAATAAATCTTGAGAAAAAAGAGAATTTAGAAAACCAATGTTAAAGTTGTTGTTAATATAGATTTAATTTGTATATTAAAAAAAATTGTACAAGGTAAAGATTAAACAAATGTGATGAAAAATTACATATATTGTACTATCTTGTGTTTTTTTATGAAACTTTTCTGTGCTGTATAATTATTCTAAACTTTAAGTAATAGTGATGTTTTTATAACATTTGATGATGCTCAGTTTCCTTGTTCTTATTTTTAGGGTATTCGGCCTGCTCCTGGGTACCCCATTCAGCCTGACCACACTGAAAAATTGACCATGTGGAAGCTAATGGATGTTGAGAAAGAAACAGGAATCAAATTAACAGAATCTTTAGCCATGCATCCTGCAGCATCTGTATCAGGATTATACTTTTCTCATCCTAGGGCTGTGTATTTTGCTACAGGAAAACTTGCCAAGGATCAGGTATTCATTTATTTCGGTCGTTGTTTTGGATAAGAAAAACAATATTGATAATTTTGAACCCCTGAAATAACGTTTTTGTTTATCATTTTTAAAATCTTTATTATAATTTTTTTAATCAATTCAATATAATCTACAGTCAGTAACTGTAGGTTATTACTTTAGTAATTGCTGATCAAAATAAAATTATTTCATGTCCCCAGGTTGAAGATTATGCCAGACGGAGAGATGTATCTGTTGTAGAAGTCACAAAGTGGCTGTCACCTGTTTTGGCCTATGATCCTGATTTAGAGTAGATTATACAAGTATCTATACAATTTTCTTACCAGTTTTATATATTCATGGACAGAGTTTCTGCTTATTTGAGTAGCAGTCATTGGTAAAGGCATTTTATTGTATATTTTAATCACATTTTATTATTATGGGCATTTGAAGTTGCTACATGTTTCATTACATTATTTTACCTGATTTAGTCATATTTTATTTACTTTATACAGTTCTTACTATTTAACTAAACAGACTACACAATAAATTTCATATAATAGGATTTCATTATGTTCACACATGCTCAAAATAATGAACAGTGAATGAGACACTTGTCAAAAAACGTTTTTAATCTTAACTACTACTAGGTATGTAACAACTATTAAGCAAAATTGTTAAAATATTAAATGCTCATGATGTCTTTTAGAAAATGTTTATATTATATATATATTTGATTCAAATTAAAATAATTTGTATCACATAAGTAAGCAGTTATTAGTTTCTCAAGAAAACCAAAACCTCTGTATTAATGTTGTGAATTCCATTGGTGCAAGCCATGAGGGGTAAAAAAACCTTTTACTTCAGTTGAATAATAACTAACAAAAGCTGAAAATGAGATTACATATATTGGATTTGTAAAAATCTACATATTCTAATATGATGGCAACTTCTATTAAAATTACTTGAATACAAATGTAAAACTAAAAGAAAAATTCAAAAAAAAGAGAGAGAGAGAAATCACATTTTCTTGAGAAGTGAAACATTCCAACAACTTTATTATTTTTTATAGTTGTTTTTTGTATATGCATTTTGACACATCTTCAGTTTACTGTAGAATAACTGGTTCTCTTGGTGGAATGAAACATCTAGAGATGATTCCATTGCAGTGTATTATACAATTAGTGTTGTGAGTAACGATTGTTGCGAAACTACTACAGTGCCAAATTATGAGTGCTATTTTTTTTAACCTTGTGTATATGATCTTGTTTATATATGACTATGCTGTTCTAAAGATTTTGTACAGTATAGTGGTTCATACCTTTGGATGTGTAAAAAAAAATCAATTAAAAATATGCAAGTATTGATATACTGTAATTGGCACTGTGGTATTTAACTGTTTAATATCAACATACATTGATGATAGAATGTTTAAGATTGAAATATTTGTAAATGGATCTTGCATAATAATATCTTATTAGTATTCATCAAAATGAAAAATGCCAAAGACAGTAATGAATTTAAAGTCACGAAAAATATTTTAAGTGGGCATCAGTGTGAATAGTAATTCATCTTGGCTTGAATATAATGATACTTTGTACAAGGTATTTATATCCACACAGGCATATTTCACGAGGTTAACTTTCATTGTAATAGCTTTAGTGAGCAGAAACTTTGTTCCATAATCAGGTAATTTTTTAGTTTATTTTGCACCTACTTCATTCAAAATCCATGATCCAATATTAAGTAATAAAAATTTGAATGTTAGTTGATGCCTTATAAAATATCAACTACTAACATTTGTTTAGACTTGGATTTTACATCTTGGACTAAACAACATATTCGTGTAATGAAATGATACAGTGATCATTACAGTTATTTAGTTGATATTTCATAAACTGAATACTAAATAATATGAGATCAATATATATATTTTAGTCACAAAGGCAGTTAGTGTTTTTTGAAATAAGTATTATCCAAGTACAAAGTAATCACGATTAGAAAGAATTATATATTTTCACAGCATAGCTTTAACGCATTGACAATTTAATGTAACCTTTTCAAAAAATGTTATAAATTGTAATACTTTTGTATACAACTACATTTTTGTATTTTATCTCCATAAAGATTTTATTAAAATAAAAGTTTAAGAGAAAACAATTTTTTATTTTGTAACCATATATTTTATTGCCTTATCATTCCGTTCTTTGCTAGAGTTTATTTAAATATTTACACTTTATATATTTTATCTTGTTATTAAAAATCACTCGAGCTTCAAGGATTATGTACATTTCTAGCTATTTTCAACTAGGCAGTCAGTTGTTGAGATTTAGTAGTTTGCTTACTCAAACTCAGTCGTATATGAATTTTTGTATGGATCTTATGTTTTTATATTGGTAATTTTGCACCTAAAGTTTCAAGTGTTATTGCTATATCTAAAATTATAAGCCATTGGTACATATATTTTACCTTTACTTGTCTTCTCCCCCTCCCCCCTGTTTTTGCACCAAGGACATTCTTATGATTTGTATCTATCTTTAAAAGAGACACTGATCAACTGTTTCCTTGAAAATATTTTGTATTACATCCAAGTTATTGGATACAATTACAAAATATATGTTATATAAAAGAAAATTAGGGACATCTAAAGTTTTTAAAACTTATGTGACTTAAATTCTGGCGGAAGAGCTTGCCATAAACCCATATACTAAGCTATCAATACAAAGTAATCTTAGTTTCAATAATCATTCAAAATTATTATAAATAAAATTTTGTGAAACTACTCACAACAGAAAAAAGAGTACGCTATTGCTAACAAAACTCAAAAAATGCCAGTTGTTTGATCCTGACACCCACAACACAATATACTTATTACAGTAGACATTCAAAAGCACAAACTGATGAAAGTTACAAGAAAACACCAGCTGTTGGTGTGACAAATCTTGCCAATACTTTAACACTCATTTTTTAGTTCATACACCACAAACTGTTTTCATGGAAGCTGCTTATTTTAGTTCATCTAGTGCCCTAATTCAGCTCTTGTAACCTTAAGCTCCACCAGGTAGCACTAATAAGACAGCAGATAGCCAGGAAGAACTGTGAAAACCAAGTTTAACTAAGATGTCAAATAGTACAAGATTCTCCAGTTAAAGCTGCAGAGTCACACAGTATTCATTCTAGCATCTTCAGGAAGTACTGAAAGGAGTGTTACTCCACATAACAAGACAAGTGAAGCAGGAAGTAATCCCTAAGTTTATGCTGTTGGAAATATTAAACACTTCACCCGTTCGGTTAGTTGGACATTTTGGAATTTCCTGCATTTTACCCACTTAAAATCTTTATTCTATAGGGAATGAGCATAATGTGAATTGCATCTATTATATAGATCTATACAAAAAAAAAAGTAAATCCAGCATCAACACTTGGCAACAGATAGATATGTGTGGACCACTAATTGAGACAGAACAAGGTGTGGTTACTATTGATTATTTTATAAAGTAGACAGCAGCTTACTCTTTTCATGACACTAAAAACTTTGTCATATACATTAGTTGGAAATTTAATAAAAGTCTGGCAGGCTAGAAGATATCTATAGAATCAAGGGACCAATTTTGATGGACTTCTGTTTGCACTGATACTCTCTAACATTTGGATATAAAAATTAGAACATTATAACTAAAGAAACATTTAACATAAAATAACATCTATTACAATAAACAGAACTTGTAGAATCTATGATGTATAACGTTTTTTAAATAACTGACACAAAATAACATTGTACATCTAACTAGAAATGACACAAAGTAACATCTACAAAATGTAATCAGAATTACAGAAAAATATTTAAAGTAACTAAACAAAAAGTAATGGTACACTTAATTAGAATTAAAAAACATCTTGCAGATCATAAAATATGTAAATTAAATAACATTCAATACATTTTATTAACTAAAACAAAAACTGATATATCACAGCTTCTATGAATTAAATTACATAATTTTTAGACACACAAGAGAACTACAGAAACAAATGACACATCACATGTCCTAGAACAAAAATAAAATGTCCAGTTATACCTAGCTAAAATTAAAAGGATATCTGATACATCACAGACTACAGACCTTAAATAGTGTTTAGGCATAACACAACTACAGAAGCAAGCAATGTATCATAGGCCCTTAAAACTGAAATAAAATGTCTAATGCACCTAACTAAAATTAAAATATCCAATACATCACAGACTACAGACCTGAAAGAAAATATCAAAATGTTATGTCATCAGATATTTTTTTATATACATAAGTAGAGTAAGAATTGTCTATGAACTGCCAGTTTAATTTTCTGGCACTATTTCTTCAAAGCACTAGAATTTTCTATATAGCAATTTAGGTTTTTGAGAAATTATTTTTTTTTTACTCGGATTTAGGTAAGTAAAAATTATCTGGAGAATTTCTTGTAATATTTAATGATAATCTAAAGTTACTAACAAATTCTCCAGTTTCCTTCTCTTTTTTTTATATACAGAATACATATGTCTGAGTATAAAAGTCCATAAAATGGGGCTGTGCTTGGTAGCTTTTTCTTCTACAGCTTCTGAATGGAATAAAAGGCGAGAGATTCATTGATTGGCGTAATCTTTGTTTATGGCACAGGTTTTGTGAAATTGTTGTTTAGAAGACAGGATGATTTCATTTTATTCTCAAGTTTGACTTATTTTTTTGTGTAATGGTCAGTTAATTGCTATTTATTTGGGTAATATCCAATATATTCTTTATCTCGGAGTCAGGTTTGATCTTCACATAATTATGCCTCACACCAGTGGCTAATTTCTCAACTCATTTTCTTCTACTAACTGTGTTTTTCTTTTATTAGAAGTGGGAACGAATACTCTTAACTTGTATATCTATCTCTTTTCAAGAATATCAAAAAATAATAGTAAGTGAAAGTAAACACACTTTACAGATCATAATTATGGTGCTGATTTTATTTCACTTAAAACATTTACACCAAGATATAATTAATTTAAGATAAAGATTTTTACTCCTACTGGTATTAAATGTACAGGTCGAGCATGAGAATTTCTGTCCTCGCAACACATGTCCACATCTAATCACCACCAGTAGGTGGTGTGCTTTACTCATGAAATGATCAAAATTAGATACTGTCATTTATGTTAACATACACAGAGCAGTGGGAAAAAGCTTCATAAATGATTCTTTAATAGTTTTATAACACAGCAGCATAAAGGCATTAGAAATTCAAAAAAAAAGACTGTCAGCTCTAGCAATGGTGCTACTGTCTATTGTGTAAGCCTTATATGCAATGTAAGTTACATTATAATCCACCTTATAATGAATACTGCATAGTTTTCAGTAACTTGTTATATTATAAGGATACATTTATTTTGTTAAGAGTCACTTACAGGGTATATATGTATTAATTACTTATTGTGTACAACTAACTGACCACACTATTACAGCGATCATTTCAAGAATGGGTGGATGTCCCATAAAAGATTAGTTCTGGTATCTGACCACCTTGCACACCAGTTCCATTTGTGCTGTCTGAAGAACACTGAAACTGAAATGTAACATTCCCCACTGTGACCTCACTTAAACCTTCTTGACCAAAGTAACTCAGCTCTGCTCCATCCAAGATTGCAGATGCAGTATAGAAGGTATCTGATTCAATTTGAATCGGATGTTGAAAGTAAACATGAAATGTATTGCTAGAACCATCAGAGAAGAACTTGGTATCATTTTCAGCTAAAACTTTACCCATCCTTTTTAGCTCTATTTTTACTGTATAATCAGAAGCACCATTACTTGATCCATACAATCCAAAGCCAACAATAAAAATGCGTTTATCAACACAGAACTGAATGCTGTCACAACGTCCACGGTACCTCCACTGGTTGCTTCTATAAGCCGAAGACTGGAACCGATGACAGATCTGTGATTTGAGTCCTGTCCTTGGAAAGGTAGGAAAGTCCAAAATAGGCTTGTTACTGGCTGTAAAGTGAAGAAAAATATCAGTGGTTTCCTGTAAAGTTAATATCCTGGACTGAGCAGGCCCATTAGCAAATTCTTCTAGAGCCATTCCTGGGATGCGAATTAAATACAGAGCTTTTCCCAATACTTTTCTCTTGTTTTCAGGAATTGGTTCTATGTCTCTCCGTAAACACTCTGCAGTTGCCCAGTTCATTACAGCTTGGAACAGAATTGTTTCTTTTACATTCAAGGTCTCCCTAGAGAGAATAGTTTCAAGGGTGCTGTAATCAATGTCTCCAAACCCTTCTGAAGTTACAGCCAACTCTGCTTGAGCATCAATCACTTCCCAGCATCTCTGCATCAGGTCAGGTTCTTCAAATAGCTGACTCTGGCTCAATAAGACACAGGCATTCTTGGCAGTAAGGCTAGTTTCCAAGTAGGAAACACATGCTCTGGCTAGATGGGGGACTAGGTACTTTTTGGCAGCATACAGAGTAGCCAGCACTGTATCTGCTTCCAGGTTTATGTCGTCATAATACAAGTACCTAAATCAAAAATATCAGTGTTACTTGCAAATGCAACTCAAGCAAATATAAAAGCTAGAAACAATCCTTTAGTATAAAAAAAGGGGGAGGGGGAGGTTGACAAGTGACGTACTTTCAATGGTTGTTTATCTGAGATGCATAAAGACAATTGATTGATCTATAAATGTATTTAGACTTTGAAAACTAATACTAGTTGTATAACTATGATGCCAGAGATCTTAACTGTATAAACTATGCACAACATATATATGTAATTACACTCTCTAAGTGACATTAGTCGAGACATTTCTGAAAATTTGTATTGCTGTTTAACCAGAAAGAAGTTTACAGTAATGTGATGGGCGTGGCCTTGATAACTTGGAACCTATTACGTGAGCGAGTTATTAATACATGACTTATTAAATTTTCTGTCACTGTCATCCAGTTAATTAATGCTATAAACATTGAGTTTCAGGGGAAAAAAAAGCAAAATTTATTTAAACGTAATATATTTGCGAAGTTGGGTTTACTGGTGAATTTTGGTTACGCTAACCATAGAACTTTAAGAAATGTTTAGTTTTTTTTGTTTTTTTTTTTTTGTTAAGTAGGATGGACTTTCCATAATACTTCAGAATCCAAAGGGACCCAGCCAACAACAGAAGCCACTACAACATTATTTTCTAGCTTTACCAAATAACGTATTACGTAGGGTGACTGATGTATTTATTGACAGTATGTCATCAATTACATGAAACAACAATAGTATTAGTACTATTACTATAGGCTAATTTATTTTAAAAAATGTATCACTATTTCAAAAATATGGCAGAATATCAATAGTGAAAAGCATTTTTAATAATTGCCAAAAACAACAACAACAAAACTATCCCTTACGTTTTTACTTTGTAGCAATAGTACAAAAAACAAAACCAATTTTCACAGAAATTTATACTGTAAAAGAATTATGGGACTTGTACATAAATAACGAAAAATAATAATAACTTGGAAAATCAAATAAAAATGTACATATTTAAATTTGAGAAGTCTAAGTAAGAGTATAAAACACTGAAAGTGAAACTGAACGAATTACAAGAAAAAAAAGTCTAAAGTACTAATATTTGTAAAAGTTGTATGACTCATAGCCGGGGGGGGGGGTTAAAACACTAAAATTAGTTTAATCGTAAACTAAAATATAAAATTCACTTAAACAAAAGTTACCGTAGAAGAGTTAGAAAGGCAGCAGGTTCTACATCAGGGATTTCAATCTCACTTTTGTCCTCTGCAAGACCCCCATAAAACATTGCATAAAACACTGAACTTCCAGTTGCTAAGATGTACTTGTGTGCTGGTATTCGTTGAGTTGAGCCTTTCGGGCCTACAATAAACTGTACGTCACTCATCAATTCATTATTAAACATAGCAGCATTTCTCTCACGTACTGTTGCTTTGGCTGCTTGCCAATTAGGATCTAACGTCTGACCTGGGTTAGGGGACAGAGGTGGCACAACCATGGGCGGAAGGATGTGAAGACTTCCAGACCCTTTGTAAGGAGGTGGACTGGAAGCGGTAGTAAGCAGGGGGAGCTGTTGTTGAATCACTGTTGTTGTCGTTGCCACGTTGTTTCCAAATTGACCTATACATTAACAAATAAAAGGCTCTATAATTATAAATACCATTAAACAATGAATGGAGTAAAGTTTACCCTCTATATAATAAAATTTGTATGTGAAACCTATTGTATTTTCCTTTAGGTTCCTTAAAACATTTTAACGTTTCTGATATTAAAAAATACTTATGCTTTTGCGGTAAGTTAAGATATAATACGAAAGGATACCCTAATGTGTCTGTGATATCAAGTTTAAAAGCCGAAACCAGACAATGTCATAATAATCTAATTTAAAAAATAAATTAGTACACGAAAACGAATAGCAAGTGTTAAGCGTTATTTTTAAGAAGTGATCCGAGAATTCAGTGGAGTCGAGTTAATGTTCAAAACATTTCAGAAATAAATATAAGCACGATTTTCCATAAAATCAAACTTCAATCATATCTTGAAGTTAAAAAAACAACTGAGAATGAACTAGAAGCCAACGAGCTTTTTATCTTTTCTTTTAATTATCACCATAAACAGATAAAATGAGAGGATCCATCATTTTAGAAATTCACACATTCAGGTGAGGCCCTAAACAATATTATGTTAAAAACCGAACAAAAACTAGTGTTCGGTTTCAAAACGGAATGTAATCACAACTAGAAGTAACTGTTTTGTAACTCCAAGTTGCTGAGACTCTTCCTTGTTCTCTGTATAAACTTAATCCAGGACATAAGAGAGTTTTGACCTTCGTAAAAAGATTTCCACTTTTCTAGCACACGAAAATAGAGCACCGTACAGCTACTTGTTATTATCCGAAACCCACACTAAGACGACATGTTAAGCAACTACATAACATGACTCAGTGTCTGTCATGTAACACCTCCTAAACCGCTGGTCTCGCCGACTTCTAAGTGGTACGAAACGAATCGTCTCGGTCCGGAAGCTTGCACAAATGTTGAATTTTTACCACCACCCCGGATAAAGCGGGGATTTCCCGAAAAACCCTTCTCCTAAACTGCTGGACTCACCAACTTCTAAATGGTGTCAAACGAATTGTTTTGGTCCCAAAGCACAAAGATAAACTTATTCACCCAACCCCTTAGGGAACCCGGGTATTTCGCGAAAACGAACCCAAATTTGGCATTGACATACATTAGAGAACGTAAATAAGTAGGTCTACTAATTACGGTTCGTACTTTAGGCAGTCCTATACTAGAGTGAAGTAAATTTTCAGTATGTGTGTGCATATTGTCTTATAGCAAACCCACATCGGGCTATCTGCTGGGTCCACCGAGGGGAATCGAACCCCTCATTTTAGTGTTGTAAATCCGAAGACTTACCGCTGATCCAACTAGGGAGGGGGCAAATTTTCAAATAAAAAGGCATAATAAATTGTTGTGATAAAATGAATTATGTGGACAACACTTTAAACCAGGATCGTTTACCTGAAAGGCTGAACACACTGTTCGTTTATTTTATGACTATGAACAATATACTTAATGAGTTTTAATTATTCTACTTAGAATAATTACATTTAGTAATTTTAAATTCTATATATACAAACTTTTGTTGATTAAAAATTTGAATATGTATAA